GAGGCGGGAGGGCGCGGCTCGGGGCGCAAGACCCCCGATCGCGCAGCCTGCTGGGGAGCTGGAGCCCGGGCGGGGGCGGCCGGCGCGGCCGTGGGGGGCGAGGGTCGCGGCGGACCCCGCGGGGTGCCCCGGCCGGAGCGAGCGTGGCGCGCCAGCTAGCGGAAAATGGCCGCTGCGGAGAGGGGCGGAGAGCGCGCAGCGGCGGCCGCCGGGCGCCTTGAACTTGGAGACTGGCGGGCGGCCGCGCCGGGCGCCGCGCATGGGCAGCCACCCAGCCGGCCTCCGCGCCGCCCGGGCCCCGCCCCCGGCCGACCCCGGCCCCGCCGCCGCGCGCGCCGGGTCCCGGCCGGGACGGGTCACCTGGCCGCGCGGTCACCCCGGCTCGCGAGCGCCCGCGGCTGCCGCTGAGGGTCTCGGCGTCCGGGGCGCGAGCGTCGGGGGCCTCCGCGACCCAGGGCTGCACTCGGGGGCCCCGTGCTCCGGAGCGGGTGCCCGCGGGACTCGCGCCCCTGGCCGCGGGCGCCGGGTGCCGGCGCGGTCCCCAATCCCCGCGCGGGGCCGCGCGCCCACGTGGCCGTGTGTGTTGTCGCGCGTGTGCGAGCTTTGTGCGGCCGAGGGGCCGGCGGCCGCCCCGTGCGTGCCTGCGGGGCGGCGCCGTGCGGCTGTCCCCGGCGGCCGGGGGGGTCCCCGCTGAGGTGCGGGGTGGCGGGGGGCTTGCGGGCAGGCGGGGCGCTGTGGCGTGCGCCCGTGTCCCAGGGGACAGTTGGGTGTCGCTGTGCGCGCGAGATTGTCGCTGGCTGACTATTCCTGGGGTGAGCTACCCTCTCTCCCCTCCCCTCCACCCCAGTTCCTATTTTCCAGAAACGGGGCCGCCGGGTGGGGGCTGGTACTTCCTCCACCTTGCCAAAGCTCTGTCTCACCGCCCCTCCCCGCCCCCCCCGTTTCCCCTCCACTTCCCTCAGCCTTGGGGTTCCCCATCCGCGCGGCCCAAGGTGCTTCGGGCACGAGGGGGAGCCGGGACGCGTTCACTAGGTGGCGGCGACGTCTCCCGCCAGGGGCTGCGCGTGCGCCAGGACCTGCCTCGAAGTGGGGCGGGGCGGTGGCGGGCCCCCCCTGCCCCCCCGCAGCGGAGGAGGTCCCGAAGGATGGGTGGTTACAGAAGCGAGGGAAGGGAGGGCCTGAGTCGGGCCCATGAGGGTGGCCAAATAGACATCCTCACCCCCCCCCATTCTGCGAGCAGCACCCCCTGCAGCCCTGCCTGCTGCACTTGCCCCCGACCTGGCCAGAAGGCAGCCCACAGTGTTGTTTTCTCCCCTCAAGGGGAATCCCCACTGCACCCCACCCCCACCTCTGGGCGCTTTATATAATTTTCTAAATATAAAAGCCCCAAGGCCAAGCCAGAGTCTCTGTTTTTTAACTTTAAACCTGCATTCCATTTGGGGGTGGTTGCTTGAGGAGAGGAAAAAGAGGTGTCCCACATGGCCACATACACAGGCACTCAGGGTCCCTTACTTGGGAAGCTCCCCACACTCAGTGCCCCTCTGCCCTCCCCTCCCCTTAGCGAGGCGGGAGCCACAGCATCCTCCCAGCTCCTCCTGGGCAGGCAGACACACCTGGTCTGCCCTCTCCAACGCTGGCCTCTGTCCCACTTGTCACCTGGTGCACAGTGGGACACATTCACTGCACACACCCATGACACACCCTTATGGTGGCCCCGGTAACAGCAGCAGGTGTGCATAACTCCACATAACACAGGTGCACGCATAGACCCAGACACAAATGCACACATGCTCACACAGACTGGCACCTGCACTTGTGGGGGGGGGGACCCCATCCTGTGTCGATTGAGGGCCTGGAGAGCAAAGAGCTCAGCTTTCTGGGGAGTGGACGGGATGGCCATGGGGGACAAATAGGGATTTGGTGTGCAGTGTATATGTGTGTGTGAGTTCTGGGAGGGTTTCTGCTGTGGGCATGTATAAATGCTGTAAGCATAGGTTGTGTGTGTGTGTAATTGTGCATGAGCGTGTGTTTTGTATTTGGAGGTATATGCACACTTGCATGGGTCTGTGTGGCTCTGTGTGTGCCGTGCATGTCAGCATGATTCTGAGTGACATGTAAGTGTGTGTCTCCATGTGGAGCCCATGCCACTGTGGTATGTGTTTGTGTGTGTGTGTGCACGCATGACCAGCCCTGTAGTGTCATGTCCCATGTTTGCTCCTTGTGGTGGAGCCCTTCACAGCCCTTTCTGAAGCCTCGGTTGATCATCTGTAAAATGGGAACACCGTACCAGCCCCCCCAAGGACCAGGAAGGGCGGTTCTGTGACAACCATGCTTTCACTCAGTCCTCACAATTCCTGGCCCAGTGTTGTGCCCATTCCCTGGGTGTGGAAGCTGTGGGGTCCCCTCCTGGGCTCCATGGCCTCTGCCTGAATCCTTCCTTTCTCTGTGAATTCCACTTACTTTTTAAAGTTCACTTTTTACCTAAACCATTCTTGAATCTCTAAAGAGGATACAGAGTATCAGAGTAGAGGGGAAACTTCTGATCGCTCCCAACCAGGGGGGACCCCACTCCAGAGAAGACCCTATTTTCATCTAGGGTTGAGACCAAAAATTGGACTCAGCAATTGATAAGTAACAGACACGCATACTTATAAAGCAGTTCACATGCAATAGATACTTTCTTATAAAACAAGTCATTGCAACATATACTTCTTACAAAGGATACATGAACATATATGTGTGTGTAAGGGATACATGCAGTATTCTTTTAAAAATACCCAAATGAGACCTCCAGTCTGTGAGCTGAGCCTGCAGTGGGTTCTCAACCCCAGGTGGTTCTGCCTCGGGGGACACTGGGCAATGGAGACATTTGTGGTTGTCACACTGTGGTGCTCCTGGAAAGGAGTGCGTGGATGCCGTGCCCAGTGACCTCTGGCACCCAGGACAAATCCCCTACTCCCCCCCTGCCAAAAAACCACCCCCAATGCCAAGGAGGGAGACCCTGATTTACAGCTAGCTTCCCCTGCATGCCTCTTGGAGACGTCTCCGGATGGGAGCTTTTATGCAGCTGTATAGTATTCCAGCCAGTGCCTTTGCCTGTATTGCCAAACTGCCCCACCCCCACAGATGGGTCCCCAGAGAGGCAGTCTGTGTGCCCCAAACCTTACCTTCCAAAGGAACCTAAAGTGGGGTGGGGTGGGGGAAATCTGGGGGTCTGTGCTTAAGGGCCGTCAGATGTCAGCTTTAACTTTTTAATGTCTGGGAATTGGGAGCTTCTGCCCTATGTATGTCTGAGGCATTTTTAATAATAAAAATTGCTGTGTTATGTTGGCATTCAGATTCTTAGATACCCCACTTCCCCATTCACCCTGGCGTGTTAAATGCCCCTCACAGGTGTGGGGAGGGGAAGTGTTAAAAATCATTTGTGGAGGTTCTCGATGTGCTAATAAGCACTGTCTGAATACCAGCCATCACCCATAGCCGGCAGCCAGGGGGGTCCCCCTGGAATCTGTGCTCCTTAGAATCCTGCTCCCTCCCAGTTCAGCCCTGGGTGAGTGGCTTCCATTCTCTGGCCCTCAGTTTCCTCACAGGGTTGCTGGCATTTTCCATGGCCCTGGAGATGGGGCAGGTGCCCCCAAATGATGAGAAGTTATTGTTTGTCCTCAGGATGCTTGGAGACATGAGTCAAAATGACTGAGCTTTCTAAAAATGTCTTTGGGTTCTTTGGACAGAAGGTCAAGGCTTTGTTGTGTGTCATTATCCTTACGCAGCTGAACCCCATTGGTGGCCTATGGTGGACCACTTCACAGGGGCACGCACGGAGGGTTCCTGTCACCCTGGTCTGTGAAGTGGTCGAGGGAATTCCAGTAGCCTCCTGGCCAGACTGGGTGGATCCAGGGAATGTAACTGGGGAGGGTTGAGACCAAAAATCAATCATCGGTACCCTGGGGCCTCAGCGTGGAGGCCAGTTCTGTGTGTTGTTCTAGAGAGAAGGAGGGAGCTTTAAGAATGTGGACTCTGGGGCCAGATGGCCTGGCTCCAAACCACTCACTGTGCCTCAGTTTCTGGATCCATAAAATGGGGTGCTCTGCTGGGGCCAGTGGGAATTACTGGGCTCCCTGGAAGAGGCTGCAAGGATTTATCTGGCCAAACTAGGTTCTGCCCGGATACCTTCTTTCTGGGGTGCTGAGAGACCTTTGGGGGTGGCCAGAGCACCTGGCTCATTTCCCCTTGGTCGCCGGCAGAGGAGGAGAGAGCAGCTTCGGGCGGCTCCTGGGTGAGCCGGGGCTCGGACCCAGGAGCAGCAGTGGGAGCCAAGGGCCTCTACTCCAGCCTTGCACCCCCTGTGTGGCCCTGGGAGGAGCCAGCCCACAGGGTGCGGTGTACCCCCCACCCCCCTACCCCACCCCCCAACCCAGGTCGTACATCTTTAAGGGGAGCGAGGCCGCCGGCCTCTGCGCACGTCACTTCTCCGTCTCTCCCTCCCCCACCCCCTGGCTCCTGCCTCCAGCTTCCCGGCCAGCTGGGGCGGGCTGGGGTGGGGGGGTCTCAAAAATCCACCTCTGGGCCCTAAATGTCCAGCGTCAGCCAGGGCCCCCTCCCCGCTTGGTCGGGTGGGCGTTCCCGCGGGCCTCAGTTTCGGTTTGGGGGTGTCGGGTGCCTGGGGCCAAGGCGCCTGGAAATTTGTAATAATAGCAGCGATGGGGGTTCGCGGGCGCGGGGCTGGGGGGGCGGCTCTCCCTCTCCGCTCGCGCTCTTTTTTCCCTCGTTTCTTTGAAAGTTGGATCCTGAGCAGTGGGAGGGGAGACGTCGAGGGGAGCTTGCCAGAGGGAGGAGAGACAGAGACACGGGAGAGACAGAGATGGAGGAGGAGAGAGGGAGATAGATGGGGGAGCCGGAGGGGGGGCAGGGAGGGAGAGGGGGAGCGCGAGGGAGAGCGCGCGAGGAGGCGGCGGGGCGCGCGCCGGCCGCGGCCGCGGGGCGGGGGGGCGGGGGGGGCGGTTTGGAAAAATGACTCAGTAAGTTGAGCGCGCCCGCTCCGGCCGCCCTGCGCCTCCCGCCGCGCCCGGGATGTATTCGTCCCCGCTCTGCCTGACCCAGGTATGTCCCCCGCCCGGCCCCCGCCCGCGTGCCCGCACCCCAGCCCCGCCGCTCGGCACCCCAAAGTTTGGAACCAGAGGAGTCTGGACGCAGAGGGCGCGCGGCTCCTTCCCGCCTCCCCGGCCGGGATGCCGCCCCCGCCCCGCGGGTCTCGGACCCCCACCCCGACCCGCGGCCGGACTCCCGCCCCCCGCGCCCCCCGCCCGCTCCGCGCCCCCCGCGGGGCTCGGGGCCCAGACCGCGGGCGCCCCCCGCCCCGCGCCGGACGCTCCCTCCCGCGCCCGGGAATATCTGGGGGCCCCTTCCCGAAAGGCCGGGGCAGGGCGCTGGGAAATCCCCGGCTCGGACCCGGGTCCGGCCGTAAGTGGGCTCGAGGGGCCCTGGGCGGACCCCGGGCTCCCGGCCCCCTCGGGATGAGGACCCCGCCGGGGGGCTGCGGGCCGGCCCTCGCGCCAGGGGTGCGCCCCGCCGCCCCAGCCCGGGCCGCCTCTCCCCCACTCTTGGCCCACGTGTGCGTGGCGGGGGAGGGAGCGCTCCAAGCTGGAGGCGCCGGAGTGGGGGCAGGGGGTGCTCGCCGGGCCGGTGCGTCTCCCTCCCCCGCCCCTCCGCGCTGCGCCGACGTTTCCCCGCTTGATTCCGGATTATTGAGCCGCAGCCGCCCCCGGGAGGAGCCTGGCGGGGCCTGGCGGGGGCTCTGCGGCTCCCCGGCCCCGGCACCTGCCCCGGCCCCCCCCAGGGCCGCTCGCCCCTGGCCGCGCTCCCGGGCGGCTCCGGCTGCGCCCCGTGCAGGGGCCGAGGGGGCGTGTGGGGAGAGGGCGGCCCGCGCCCAGGCCGCGCCCGGGGGCTCCTTCCCGCGCCCGCGCCCTCGGGCCGGGGCTGCCGCTTCTGCTTCCCGGCGAGGCTTGAGAGTCTCCGGGTCCGCGGGGTTCCCATCTCCGCGCCTCCTGAGGTGACAAGTGAGGGGCCAGGCGGAGCCGGAGGCTGGCAGTGTGGTCCCAAAGCAGGGCAGTGGGGGGAGCCCGGGCGCCCTGCAGAACACCGTGTGTCCACTCAATTATGGATGCCCGGCTGGGCCTCGGGGCTGCTAATCCCTCCAGCCCCTCCGTTGTGAGTAGGTGCCTTTACTCACGTTAGGGTTTTCTTGTTGGTCCCCCCCAGGTGCCCCACAGGAGCGTGGGGTGGATGCTCAGGGGGGCTCAGGCTTGTCCTGTCCAGGGTCGCCAGGGTAAACAGTGACCTTGGGCAGGTCCCTGCTCCTCGCCAGGCCTCTGTTTCCCCCTCTGAGTAACTTTATGGGGTGTCCCTGAGATTCCATTACTGGCCCTCCTCTGCCATGCAGCCCCCTGAAGCACCCAAGAGCAATTAGGGTTCCAGTTGGGGTTACCCTGTGACCTTGGGCGTCCCAGTCGCTGGACTTAGAGGATGACCTATGTGCCTCCGAGGTCCCCCCCCCCCAGCCCTTCCCGCGCTTGCTCGCGCTCTGGCTCATTCGCTGAGCACGCAGGGGGCTGAGAAGGGAGGCTATTCCAGGCGATGAGGTTGGAAGGACGCCTTTTGTCACTGCGCCCTGGAATTCCCCCGTCAGGACTCCTCGGGGAAACAGGCCTCCATCCACGTTGCCCAGAGGGGGTGTCAGTGAGAACCGAGCTCTGGCATCTACGACAACTTGTGTGCCCGGCTCAGCCAGGCAGGGCCAGGATCCGCTGGGCAGGCTGTCCGTGGAAATGGAAGACTTGGGCTGGCACTCTCTGCGGCTGCTGTGTGCAAAGACAGGGTGGCAGAGATGGGCAGAGAGAGGACCAAAGAGCTCCGAGGCTGCTGTAGGTTTGGAGTGGCCTCAACATGGGGGCACCCTGTGCTGTTTATCCACACGGCGAGCCTGGGGGTTCCTCTTTCAGGCTCCCCTGCAGATTCAGGAGCCTCCCTGCAGCCCCTGCAGGCCCAGTCTGGCGTGGGGCCGCGAGCTGGGGGGCTCAGAAGGCCTCTGACTTCTTAGGAAGGACCTCCACTCTCGGATGATTCCTCCTCGCCCCCACCCATTTCTGACTCCCCCTACCTCTCTGGCTTCCTCTGCGTCTGTCTCCATCTGTCTCCCCGTCTCGCTCTGCTTTCCCTTTCCTGTCACTCCATCTCTCCCTTCCCAGGTGTCCTCCCTCTGTCTCTGCACCTCTTTCCTGTGTCTCATCGTCTCTCCCTCCTCTCTTTGTCTCTGTGTGTCTCTTCTTACCCCGATTGTCTCTCCCTGCCCCCCTCTCCTGGCTTTACCCAACTAATTTTACAACCTGAGCCCATCCTAAAATAGCTCACTTTTAGCTGATCCGACCCGGATCCTTCTTGGAGCTGAGACCGGGTGTGTGGGGGGGTGGTGACTCTGGTGCCAGCCCGCCCTGTGCCCCCTCCTGCCCTGCCCACCGAGGGGGGTAGCCCTGGAGGATTCTGGGAACTCGTCCCTGTTTCAATGGTGACTCAAGTGCTTTTTCACTTTTACTCTTAAGAGGAACTGTGTGGAGCAGCCGTTACTTCCATAAATCCTGCCGGCGGGAAGCCGGCCTCCCCAGGCTTGCCCCACTCCGGGCCTCCCCCCCTGCCTTCCTCCCCGCCCGCCACCGCCACGTTAGTTATTCCGGGTTTGGGGCCAAATCCCTCTTGGCTGCAGTGTCCAGGATTCCCTAGGGCCAGGGCCGAGGGCTGGGCCTGGGCTGAGGCCCATGGCCACGCCAGCTGCCAGGCCCCCCTCCCCCATGCATTCTTTCCTTCATTCCTGCACCCCATTATGTCTCCGGGCTCCCCTCTTTTTCCTGCCAGTTCTCCTGTGGGGAGATAGCCTGGGAGAGGGCCCCAACTTGTGTTTGACTTAATAGATCTTCATTAAGCGCCTCCTACAGGCCAGATTTGGGGGGATGCAGACGGTAGCCAGATCTTGGCCTGGTGTGGGCTCGGCAGTTGGGAGGGGGGAGACTCTGGGGGTCCCCTGAGGGCAGGGAGAGGGACGAGACCCACACGCGGGGCTTTAGGGCTGGCTGTTGGGGTCACTTCCTACCCGACGGTTTGGCCGGGCGTGGGCTGGCGGGCGCTCCCCATGTGCCTTCCCAGTCATGGTCTGAGGGCCCCAGATCCACCTCTGTGACAGGCACAACCTCTCCACCTCTCCCTCTCTTTCCCTCTCTCTGCCTCTCCCCCTCCCTTCTCTGCAGCGGAGGTGCCTCTGCGCGCCAGGACCAGGCGCCTTGTAAATCACCGAGCTGGGATTCTGGCCGAGTCAGCGTTCTCCCTCTCTCCCTCTCTCTCCCTCTCTCTCTCCCTCTCTCTCTCCCTCTCTCTCCCTCTCTCTCCCTCTCTCTCTCTTTCTCTCTCTCCCTCTCTCTCTCTCCTCGCTGCCTCCCCCTTCCCTCTCTCTACTCTACTCTTCTTTCTGTCTCTCTCCCCCCTCCTCTCTTTCTGTCTCTCATCTCTGTCTCTCTGCTTCTCTCTCTCCCCCCTTGTCTCTCCTCTCTTCATCTGGCCTCTTTCCACCTCTCTCTCCTTTCTCTCCTGTCTTTCTCTCTGCCCGAGTTGCCATCCCTCCCAGTCTCACACCCGCTACGTGGGCACTGCTGCCATGTCCTGGGCCTCCTGCCCGCTCAGTTCCCACGTGTGCACACGCGTTATCACCCCTCACCTGGTGCATGCTGATTGGGGGCGCGGTGCAGGAGCTGCAGGCCTGAGCCACCCACGCACACGTGCACAGGCGTGCACACTCACCGCACTGACCCCACACCTGCGAGGCTACAGCCTGCCTGCCCCAGGTGTGCCCTAACGGGCAGAGGAAGAGACCCAGGGTGGCCTCAGATATGTTCAGGGGACTCGGGAGTGAGTTTTATTCCTTCCCATGTGTGTGGCTCTGGTCAAGTCACCCAGCCTTTCTGTGTCCCCCTGCTCCCATGAAATGAAATCATTGGTGATCCTCAAGTCCTCAGCTGCCTGAAGATTTCAGGGAGGCAGGATGTTTCTGATGTGCTCGGCCCACGGGTGGCATATAATAGGTGCTGAAACAATATTTGTTGTAAGAATGAATGAATGATTGAATGAATGAATGAATGAATACAGATTGAAAGAAGGAACTTGAGCCACTCTGAGCTTCAATCTCTCCCACAAAAAATGGAAAATATAAGCGTGCCTTCCTGAGATGCTTTGTCCTTAGCACAGTGCCTGGTATACAGTAGGTGCCAAATAAGTGCTACTGTGATTATGGTTGTTGCTAAACTAATAATTGGGTTAAACATCCCATAGGCATTTTCCTCCTTTATCCTCCTTCCATTGTATCACTATTTGCTCAGCATGAGCCAGACCCTGGGCTTTGAAGGATGCATAGGAGTTTGGGATAAGTACTGAGGAGGTAGATAATACTGAGGTGCAATGATCCTGCACCACCCAGACCCTGAACTCCAAGGGCTTTTCTATTGGCTTTTCCCTCCTGCCCAGCCCTGTCCAGGGTCTCACTGAGCTTTGCCAGACCCAAGTGAGTACCTGGATCCATTGTCAGTTGAGGTGCATGCAGGCGACTTAGGCTTGAGCTTGCTCCTTAACTTGTCCAGCAATCCAGCAATGAATAAAACAGATCAAATCTGTGCCCTTAGGCGATGGGCAGGAAAGGAGGTGACAGGGCAGGACCCAGGTCTGGGCTGCCTTGTTGGCTAGAGCAAGCCTCCCCTAGGAGAAAAGGGGGGGAAGGGGCGGAAGAAGAGGCATGTGACGGCGCAGGAGGAAGGGAACGTGTGGGATCTAAGAGAGAAGGCAGGGTGCAGAACAGGCTTCGCTTGGGAGTCCTAACCACAGGGCCACACCGTGTGTGCAAGGGGCCCGGCAACAGGGCTGAGGAATCGGGGGGTTCATGGTCAGAGGGTTTAAGCCCCCGCTCCACTGGCTCCTTCCTGGCTCCTGACTGGGCCAGTGGCTTCAGTGCTCCATTTCTCCCTCCAGACAGTGGGCGCAACAATAGATCCCATTTCTTAGAGTTGCTGGCTCACTCCATGCTCAGCCTCTGCAAGCTTGCCCCAAATTGCTGTCTGTCTCCCATACCCTCCATGGTCCTGTGGCTCAGACCCCCTCATCCTCTGGAGACAACGGGACATAGAGAGGAAAGTCAGGAGCTTCAGGGCACAAACTTTGCTCACTTTGGCTGGGAGTTTCCAACCTCTGGACTCAGTTTACCCAAATTCCTCCTTGTCCCACACAAGGCCCTGCACAACCAGAACCTGTTACCATCTCTGCCCTCACCCCTTCTACTTTCCCTCTTCTTGTTCACTCAGTGTTAGCCTCCTCTTTGTTCTTCTAATACAGTAAGCATCTCCGGCCCCAGGACCTTTCCAAGGGCCATTTACCCACCTAGAAGTTCCTACCCTGAACTGTCATCTTTTGGGTCTTTAAAGTGTCCATTTCTACAACTCACCCTCCCTGCCCACCCATGATTTAAAAAAAAAAAACAAAAACTGTAGGATTCCCTAGTTATGCTCCTTTAAATTGTCGATAGCACTTTGTTCAACCTGACATTCTATTACCTATCTATCAGCTTAACATCATCCCTGCCCAAAGCTGCCGAGAGCTTGGGGAGAAGTAGTTACTCAAGGTCTGAAACCCTAACTCTGAGGTCATATGAACCTGGTTCAAATATGAGCTCTGCCATCTGCCAGCCATAACTACAGGCAAGTCATTTAACCTGGAGGGGACATTGGAACCAGGGTTCTGAAGGATACGTAGGAGTTTGAAGAAAGTAGAGGTAGATGAGATAGAGTCTCAATAATGTTTGTCGAATCACTGAGTAAATGAAGGGAAGAGAATCTTCCCAGAAAATGTCTGGTTAGGCATTGAAGGTCCGTGTCCTGGTTTGCTGCCATAGATTGTCAGCGTGGGAGGGCCGCAGGGGCCCAGGGAGGTGCAAGCCTAGTGCACAGTTATGCAGTAGTGGGGCCCAGCGAGGGCTTGGAGCTGGATGTTTCCTCCCAGCCTGCTCCCTCTTTGGCCAGGAAGTCCCAGTAGACCAAATGGGGTTTCTGGGAAAGACCTGGCCTTGCTTCCCCCACCCACCATGTTGCACCTCTCTTTACCAGAGCAATGGGCAAGTCCCCCACCCTCCCCAAATCCTATCAGGCTGCGAGGTCCCTTCTGCCTGTTGTAGGGAATAAGAAAATCGAGGCCCACATTGCAGCAGTGATTTGGCTCATACAGGAGGTCAAAATGGAGGCCAGTGTCACCCATTTCGTCTCAGGGCCTGCCTGGTAACGAGTGTCTCAGCTCAGGGTTGGGGGAGGAGGGGAAGTAGAGCTGGGGGCCAAGATTCCCAGCGTGTGATCCAGGCTAGGTCTTGAGAAACCCTGAGGAGGACAGGAAAGACCACCTGAAGGAAGGCGCACTAGAGACAAGGCTGTGAGGGCTGTGCAGGAGTTTGGGAGGATTCTTAGCATTAACTCACCTCCGTTGTCCCTTTGCCGGGTCAGCCCGTGAGGGCACTGGGAGGTGCTTGTGGTGAGAGGTCTTGGTTGTCGCCTGTGTGGGGGACACCGGGAGTGACCAGTCTATCTCCCAAGAACCTGGGCTGACCTCCCAGGGAGGACAAGGGAGGGTGGGGAAGTGGGTCCATGACCCAGTTATGAACTGTTTGTCTTTCTTCCTCCAGGCTCGGCTGGGGTCATGGGTGACGTGGGCTTCTGCCCCTGTCGACATCCCTGATGACTTTCCCAGGGAGGACGGGGCAGGGGGAGCGGGGGTGTGGAAAGCAGGAACCTGGACGAGACAAGGAATTTGGGGGTGGGTAGGGACTCAGGAGAAAGGGTTTCCAGGAGAGAAGGCGGCTCAGGAAGGTCCCACACCCCTGCTGGCCAACGCTTCAGCTGCCCCTTTGGAGCCAGCTCCCGCTTAGGGCGGCCCCAGTCGGCACCTTGGGTCGCAGCCACTGCAGACACCATTTCCCTGGCCTCCTGCCCGCTTGGCGTCGGCTGGGGTGGGGGCAGCGACCGGTGTGTCTATTGATTTCCCACCCCCGGCTTCTCTGACCCGGGCTCTTGTCCCTGCTCTGCTGACTGCGGGTGACCTGCCAGTCTCTCACCATCTCTGGTCTAGCGTGTCAAGTGGCACAGACGCAGGCAAAGCAGCTGTGAGGTTGAACAGGGGCTGGCATAAGGCTCCTTCCTCCCTCCGCTCAGCAGGTCAGCTGGGGCAGGGAGATGTGCAGTAGAAAAGGGCCCTGAGGTCCAGTCCCCACCACAGCTGTTACGGTGACTCATGCTGGGGGGGCGCTGGAGTGGAGAGATAAGATTGGCACAAGCTGAGCCCATCCTGCCCCACCCCCCAGGGTTGAAGGCTATTTTCAGAGCCTCCGTAATAGGTGAAATCTGATGTTGTCCCTCTGCCCCCAGCACCTCATGCCCAAGGGGAGACAGAGCCCAGGTCAGGAGGGGCGCACCAGGCAGGGGGTTCTGTGAGTGTCCAGGCCGAGAGGTGGGACTGCCCCCAGCTGCCTCCATCTGGAAAGCAAATGCATGACCAAGAGCAGCTGTTAGCGCTCTCCCCAAGATCCCAGCCCTCTGGAGCCCAGGCTTTTCGGAGAAAGGGGCATTGGCCTTGGGAGGGGTTGGGACCCTGGGGGCCTGTCATCATACAGCCTGAGACCCTGGGAGACTCTGGCCAGGTCTCCACCCCTCTCTGAGCCAAGAGGGTGGTGCACAGAGCTTGGGGTCTAGTCCTGCACCTGAGAGATAAAGTGATTGTAACAGTGTCTGGTGGCGCAGGCAGTGGAGCACAGCGCTGTGAAGCTGTCCGCAGCCTCTGCAGTGCGGGTTCCATCCCGGCCAGCCGGGGAGATTCCCACATGGGGGGCAGACCTCTCCGTCTCTCCCGCTGCTCCCTCAGCAGGGTATTTCAGTCAATCTGCCTGTTCTGCTCCCCGCTCTGTCTCTGGTGAATCGCCTCACTCCCCCTCCCCCATACCTCTGGCCTGTACCCCGGTTCTTGTATAAATAAATCTTTTAAAAAGAAAAACAAACAAAAAAACCTGTCAATAATAATAACAACCTCAATACAATACAGCCTTTCCAGAGCTGGGCAGACAATGGGGTTAACCCCCCCAAAAGAGAGACTGCCCCACTCAGCCTAGGCAAGAGCAGGCAGATGGGACCCAAGGCTTTCTTTTCTTTTTCTTTCTCCTTGAAATTTTCTCCCCTTGAGGCTAAGAAACCAATGACCAATGAGAAACTGTTCTGCCACTCCATTTTCCTTCTGAAAACGCAGGTTTTTCCTTCTGAAAAAGAGGTTCTTTCAGGACTAGGTTCCCTTTTGTGATCTGTAAGATGGGCCACTAGCCCCCGATCAAGGCTGATGTGGGGGTGGGGGCGGGGGAAGGAACGCTGAGGTCACAGCCCTGGCCAGGTCTCGAAGCCTCCACAGACCTTAGTTTCTCCATCTGTGGAATGGGTCCGTGGCAGGAGAGGGCCGGTGTACTGGCCCCTCTGCAGCTCCTGGGCCTCTGGAGCACTGGGGTCTCTTGAGCTTTCTCAACTTCTGCAGTGAGCCCCCTCCCACCCTTCCATCCGCCCTTGACCGCCAGGTGGCCCTAGTCTTAGCTGTGAGCTTCAGCCTGCGGGCCTCTTTATCTGCTCTAGACCCCTGGTCCTCATTTGTTTCATGGGTGCCAAGGGCCAGTAGAGTTGGCCCTCAGAGTCTCCGATCTGATACCAGCTTTCACTGCTGACCAGTGGATCCAAGAGATGAGCCCCAAGCACCGTCCTCGGGGGCTGGCTTTTCCTGCAATCACCCTGCTGTAGATGTTAGAGCTCACACTCTAGTTCGAGGGTTTGCAAACTCCAGCACCTGGGCCCGGTGCCCACCATCTGTTTTTGTCAATAAAGCTTTATTGGCACCGCACCACGCCCATCCTCTCCATGTCCTGTGCGGCTCACTTTGCACACAGTACGGAATTGAGAAGTCGCAACTAAAATGTTCACTATCTGGTTCCTTAGAGTAAGTTCGCTAGCCCCAGCTCTAGTAGGCAGAGAACGAAGGTGACATCTCCATCCTCTGGCCTCTGTCTCCCCCATCACCACAAGTCCCCCATTAGCCTCCCTCCCTGGAGCGCTCAGCTTGCCCTATCCATGTATTAGGGTCCATGAGCTTCTGTATTAGCCTTCACCTCCCACATAATCCAAACCTCAATTTCTAGATCTGGGCAGTGAATTCTCACCTGTCCCCATGAACTTCCGCCGGGGTACACCCCCCCCACCTTCTGCCTGTTTTCCCCAGGAGGTAGACAGGTCTGCCGTAGCCCCCTGTCGCTCCCCGCTGAGTGGGGGGACTGGGGGGGGGCCGCCAGGGCCTCCATCTCGGGGGTGGGTCGTGGGTGGAGGTCATCGGCACCTCTGACCTCTGGCCTCTCCCGCAGGATGAGTTCCACCCATTCATCGAGGCGCTGCTGCCTCACGTGCGCGCCTTCGCCTACACCTGGTTCAACCTGCAGGCGCGGAAGCGCAAGTACTTCAAGAAGCACGAGAAGCGCATGTCGAAGGACGAGGAGCGCGCGGTGAAGGACGAGCTGCTGGGCGAGAAGGCCGAGGTGAAGCAGAAGTGGGCGTCGCGGCTTCTGGCCAAGCTGCGCAAAGACATCCGGCCCGAGTGCCGGGAGGACTTCGTGCTGGCCATCACCGGCAAGAAGGCGCCGGGCTGCGTGCTCTCCAACCCCGACCAGAAGGGCAAGATGCGCCGCATCGACTGCCTGCGCCAGGCCGACAAGGTGTGGCGGCTGGACCTGGTCATGGTCATCCTCTTCAAGGGCATCCCGCTGGAGAGCACGGATGGCGAGCGCCTGGTGAAGGCCGCGCAGTGTGGCCACCCGGTGCTCTGCGTGCAGCCGCACCACATCGGGGTCGCCGTCAAGGAGCTTGACCTGTACCTGGCCTACTTTGTGCGGGAGCGAGGTGAGTGGGGCGCGCGTGTGGGCCAGGGTTCACGGGGAAGCCGTGCCCCCTGGCATCGCAGGGGCGGGCGCCGAGCGAGGAAGGCCTGAGGCAGGGGCCCTATGTGGAGGTCAGAGGGAGCAGCCACCTGCTACTCCAGCGTCTACGGGCAAGACATGTGGTTCTCGGAGAGTCTGACAGGCAGGCAGGTGCCTGTGGGTCTGAAGGGGAGGCAGGCCCTGCCTCTGACCTTGGTTTCTGAGGGAGCTGACAGACGCTTGAGGGCTCAGGAGGTGAAACCCTGCCCCAGAAGGTCTGAGGGGCAACGTGTGGCCAGGTCAAGAACAGGGCGTACCAGAGAGTGACAGAGAGGGACAGACAATGTATCCCTGCAAGGAAAGGGTGCTGGGGCGCTCCTGGGAACACTGGCTGGCCTCCAGCAGAGGCCTGGTTGGGTTTGTGCCATGAGTGGGCAATTGACCACTGTATGACTTTGGTTAGGTGACCCCCTTCTCTGGTTCTCAGTGTTCCCCTTTCAGTCCTTCCAGCAGGGCGTTTGCTGACTCCAGGGTCAGATGCCCAACATTGAGACCAGTGGGCTTTGTGCAGGGTAAGGAAATCATGGCGGCTTCCTGGAAGAGGGGGTGCAGCTGAGCTGAGCCTGGACCGTAATGGGTGTGGGAGTATCCCAGGGGTCAGTTGCGTGGGCAGAATGCGTGTCCAGCCTCTTAAGATCAGCAGGTCCTGGCGGCCAAGGGCAGGGCCTGACTGGGAGGGCAGTGAGATTCATTGCCTCTGTTCCCTGTCTGTGTGTTCAAGTTGGGCCTGTTTCCTCATCTGTCAAGTAGAGGTTATCAGAGTCCCTAGATTGATTCTGCGGTGGGATTCAAAAAGATCAGCCTGTAGAGTGTTGAATGCCCGCCTGCCACATGGCAGGTGTGACAGTCATGACTGTCCTCACAAGGGCAGAATCAGAAGTATCCGTGGAACCTAACGGGCGCACGCCCCAGGCCCTCCCAGGCCCTCCCAGGCTGGGTCTGGTGCACACATGCCCGGGGGCTGCCTGAGCTTGTTAGATGGGTGCACATGGGTTAAAAACCCAGCCCCAGCCCAGGTCGGTCCCCCCAAAGCACACAGGATCTATGGAAGGAAGGCCTTGAGAACAGGGTGACGAGTTAGACCACCCAGGTTCCAGAAGCAGCCCTGCCCTTTGCAGACTGTGTGACTTTAGACACATCACTGCTCTGTACCCTAATTTCCGCCTCTGTACACTGCGGGTGACAAGTCAAGTCAACTCCTAGAAGTGATCTAAGGATTGGATGAGGTTATGGGGATTCAGGGCTGGGAGGGGTATATGTGGGAGGCAGAGCTGGGTTAGTTTCCTGATCTTGACCTTGACCTTAGCATCTGCCCTCCCCTGCCCCACCCATTGGCCACAAACCCACTGGAGACGAGAGTGAATTGATGCTGGGGGCGTGGAAGCAGGCACTGGACAAGGTGACTGTCTGGTGCAGGGGCAGGGGCAGCCTTGGGGACTGCAGCGATCATTACCATGCAGCACATCCATCCCGGCCCCGCCTCCACCTCCTCTGCGCTGAGCTGATAAAATTTTGAAGCGAGTTTTCTGCCCGTGTCAGCACAATCTCTAGGCACCTCCCCTCCCCCAACCAGCCCCCTCCCCCACTTGGTGCAGCAGGCAGACCCGGCCTCCAGGCCTCCCCAGACACTGTCAAGTGGGCTGCCAAGCCTTTGCCCACCTGCCTGGTCAGCCTCCCCACATGAGGGCAGAAATGGGGGGTGTCAAGTCTGAACCCTCCCCTGCTTCCTGCTGGTTCGGTCACCCCCAGAGGAATCCCTGCTCAAACTGGCCCCAGCTGACCCAGCCCCAGGAGTGAGTCAGACCTGCAGAGCCAGGTCTGGATTCTAGCCCCAGCATGGCCGCTGCTGCTGGGCTATCCAGAGGGAGTTGCTTAACCTCTCTGAGCTTCATTTCTACATTTGTAAAATGGGAAACGCCAAAAGAGCCACCTGAAAGGAATATTAGGTGCTCGTGTTAAGTGCTACCAAACAACCCTCTTGGGGTCGTGAAGACCAGCATGAGGCACAAGACGAGGCCTCCCTGGGTGGTCACCATTGCCAGCGTTGTCACTTTCATTATGGTTTTTGATTTCACTCCTGGTCTTGCCCATACTGTTCCCTCTGCCTGGAATGCCTTTCCCATATGGAAACTCCTGCTTGTGCTTCAACACTCTAACTCCCAGCTCCACCTTCTATCTGCAAGGCATTTTCCCTAAGGCTTAGCAATTCTTTCCATTCTCACTGCAGCCTGACAGATCGTGATTGTACCCATTTTGCAGATGAGGAAACAGAGACCCAAAGAAAGTAACTGCCCTGTGCAAGGTCGCACAGTCAAGAGAGGGCAGAGGTAGGAATTAGGCACAGATAACTTCTATCATGGACACTGTCCTTAACTCTCCCCCCTTGGTGCCTACACAGGAGGGAGGTAAATTGTGGCAACGTGAGCATCCAGCCAGTGTGACCGACACCTTCGGTTGGGTCTGTGTTCTAGGGTCCCACCAGCAAGGCCCCAGCCAGGGTGCCATGGGCCCCCTCTTGAGCCCTAACAGCAGGACCCTACCCCAGCACCTCCATGCTTGTTCTGGGCTGGAGCTGAGTTCAGCCCAGCTGGTGTTGGTCTGATAACAGAGAGAACTGACTTTGGGGGTTCCCGGGGCTGAAGGGGGACTCAGCCGAGGCCAGAGAGCAGTGTCTGCTTTAATCAGCCCTGCTGGGACGGTGTGAAACTGAGGCAGAGGGTCGGGGGAGCAGGCCTCAGTCGGCCTCTTGGGAGGTACAGGGTGGATGCTGGCAGTGGGGGCATTCCCCAACAGCTGAAAGGAGGTACAGCTTCAACACCAGAAGTGAGACAGTTAATGCAACAAAGGTGGGGCCTCAGAGCTGGCCGAGAGACAAACACATACAGACACAGACGGAGACTCAGAGGCCACGCACACGCCTGTGCTCTTCCACTCGGCCCTGCCCCGCCTTGGACACCAGCCTCAGTCCCCGCCCCCCCCCCCCCCCCGATCTCTCCCAGGGGCTGTAGGGGGGCTGGGGTCATTTCCCAAAGGAAAATCCAAGGCTTCCGTCCTGGGATTATTTTGGGGGGACAGAGAGATGGGGACAAGCTGTGAGGGCTTCTAGGAAGTCAGAACCCAGGGGACCTCCAGTGACTGAATCTGGCCACCCAGGCACCCACCTGGTGCCACTGTGACCATGGGGACCTGATTCCAGCAGCTGGATGCAGTGTGTGCCCCTGCATGGCCTAGGGGACAGCTGGGTCCCTTGATAAAGGGCTGATATGAACCCCATCTTGAGACACTGGGGGCTTCCTGATAAATGCATGGATTTGGGGGGGAATGTGCACAACTAAGTAGAGGTTGAGGATACTGACAATTCAGTTAAACTAATAAAAATACAAGGACAGGGAAACAAAGCAGGGGAGGGGTGTAAAGAGGGCCCGGGTATGAGAAGGGCCTCTCTGAGGAGGTGAATTTTGAGATGTAGCCCGAAGGAGGTGAGGCAGCTGCAGAGGGAGGTGAGTGTGTGCCAGGCAGGGAGCTCAGTCAGTGCAAAGGCCCTGAGGCTGCAGTGGCTGGAGCATGGGAAGCAGAGTGTGGAGGCCGCAGGGAGTGTTGGAGGTGGGGGCCCGCCGTGTGGCTGCACGGCGAGGGTGACGGAGAGGCTGGAGCCCGCCTTGCACTTGGGAAGGAGCCTGCAGGAACCAGAGCCCAGAAGGGGAAGCTGCCTGCCCGGCCCTGAGCCCAGCCAGGCCTCCCCACCCCCTCTGGCAGCCTGAGAAACCTGAGGCGCGGGCAGGCACTGTGCCAGGGCAGGCGGGGGAGGGGCTGCCAGGCCTGCCCACTCCAGCAGCTGCCAGCCCGCCCCAAGCTGCCAGCCCAGATGGTGCCCGTCTGCTGACGCTGCCGTGAGCCAGTCTCGAGTTCCCGCCTTGCACAGTGCCAACCTCCGGGAATGGCGCTGGGAGCAGGGGCCGGCTTGAGAAACTCACAGCTGCCTGAGGACGGCGCTTGGTGCCCTAGGGAGGGGGGTGCAGAGAAACTGGGGAGAGTGAGCTAGGGGAGAGAGGCCCCCAGTCCTCCTGGATGGAACTGGGAAGCAGTAGCAGCCACAGTGGTGGGGAGAGTAACAGCGGACACACACTGAGTGCCTGCTGTGCGCCTGGCTCTGCACCCACCCTCCGTCTTAACTGGTTTAATTCTCTCCACCCTGAAAGAAGGGATTGGTACCTTCAATCTTGTTTCAGAGAAGGAAACTATGGAGGCCCAGGTAGGGTCAAGCGCTTGCCCGAGGTCACACAGCTCCCAAGAGGCAGAGTGGAATTAGAGCCCACAGAGGCCTTGAAGCTCCTACAAGAAAAAGCTAAAACACACTTGGAGGGTATCAAGCGATTAAGAGAGCAGGTCGGGAATACACTACCACGCAGGGGGCGGCGCACTGAAGCACCCACGGCAACTGTGCTGGGGTCAGGGCCTCATAAAGTGCAGCCTGGACCAGATGGCAGGGGAGAGGGTCTCAGTTTGGACCGAGGAGGCCAGGACAGCCACAGCCCAGCCTGTGCGGTGCAACTTACCACAAAGTCCTCTCTGCTCTGGGCTTGGGGACTGGGGGACAGGGAGTCTTTGGGTCCCAGAGAGGACCCCCCATTAATCTCCATCCCAGCCCTGGGTGCTGTGCTGGGAGTGCCAGCGTGGGCTTAAGGGCATGTAAGGATTCCCGGATTTTTGTGCAACAGCACAGTTTGTGTCCGTGTTTGCTCCAGGCTGTGGCTCTCTCTGAGCCTTAGTTTTCCCACCTGTGAAGGGGGGATGAGAACTGTGTCCAGAGCATTGAGGATATGAGTTGCTGGTCCCTGCAGAGCATCAGGCGGTACTCGGTAAATGCTCGGCACCTCCCAGAGTCCCCTCCCCAGCCCCAGGAGGCAAACGGGGGCAACTGCT